TTTTATTTACTTCATTGAATAATCAATAAATGAGTTCAATATCAATGAAAATAAAAGATCAAAATGGATTCTTTTGGTGGATGGATATTATAGTAATCACTATGGGAAACCTGGAATCACTGTTTGATGGCTATTTCATCCTATTGTAGGACATATTAAGATGCAATTTTTGACATTTTAATGAGAAGACATGACTAACTGAATTTTGTAGTGTTGAATGTGAGACAGTTATTTACTCTACGTGATGAGCGGTGGTTATTTAATATCATCAATTGCTTAAAGTTCAAAATGAACACTATTGAATGGTCTAAAGGTTTAGCATTCACACACGAGATCAAAGGTTGTGAATTAGACTCTCTGTAGGAAGATTGTGGATGCATACTACGGATTAGCTCAGTATTAAGATTAAAAAGGTGTTCAATGCATCCTGGTTTTTGGTGGTTGACTAGCTGGGATAAGTTCGTGATTTAACATCTCGCCTCGCGAAATTCGAACCCAGGACCTATCAATCTTGCGTGCAATTGCTTAACCTCTAGACTACTGAGCTGGCCGTCATCCAACAGTGTTAATGTCTAAATTCAACTAATCCACGAATTTGAGCGACACATTCACTATTGTCTTCAATGAGTTACTATCTCACAACATAACTCGAGGAAATATCTCTTGGAATCAGTCACTAGTAAGCATATGTCGATTAATATCAGAAGCGGTGTTTCTGTGGATATCATAGTAATGTTAATAGTTGGGATCATGAGTTAATTGGAGGTTGACCATCATAGAAAATATAAAAACGTTATATTACATAGATAATATGCGGTTACATTATTCACTGAAAGAAATAAAAAGAATAAGAATGGTTAGTTCAGTGAAGTGTTCTCGTTTTCGATGAATTCATTTCCAAAACTGTACACTTACAAACACATATACAAGATGTTTTGTTTTCTCAGGATGATAATAATACTGATAATAAACTTCTGTTAGACATGGTGATAGTGAAATAGAAGAAACAAAGGTTATTTTTTATGAATAGGGTCATTAATAATCGTTTGATTGTTAATGGCTTAAGTATTTATCAAAAGATAGATAGGGAAATTGACATTGAGAAAGGATAGTTTAGCATGATATGATAAAATGTAATCAGAAAGATCATTAAAAACAAACATAGAAATAAACCAGTTGGAGGTGTAAAAGATTAAAGGAGTAGATGAAAGGGGTAGCAGATGACTATAAAGGAAGAAGAGTATAAAGGAAAAAATTTAAATAACATTAAGTTCATGATAGAATAAGAAGTTGTACCAATCTCTTTCGGACACAATTCTGATTTCCCCATATGTATAGCTATTGCTTTGGCAATGCTAAGAAGATGCAATATAAATACCCTGTAGATGACTATGAACGTAGAGTCTATCTTGATCGAGTGACTAGTATTCACAAGGTGTTCGATTACTGAACTTCTCATTGAACCGTTTCCTCATCTTTTTAGCCACGTCGGACAATGTTCTTGAATTCTTTTGAATAAAGTACACATCGTATGACCTATATACTTAGCTCTATATGAGCAGAAGTTTATTATCATCCTGAGAAAGCAAAACATACGTATATATATATTTGCGATTGTACATCTTTGTAAATGAATTCGGTGAAAAGAGAACTCTTCACTGAATGAATCTTTCTTATTTCATGACTTCATAGGTTTATACCATTTAATTAAATGTAATTCTGATCATACAATACAGTATAAACAATTAACCATTAGATCAACAGGCTTATTGTTCCATTATTTCAAACATGTAGAGATCAAAAACTAATTTTTGTTGTTGTTCTTGTTGTTGTCGTTGTTGTTGTTGTTGCTGAGAATATCTGAAGAAAGAAACGATATTCAAGAGAGATCATGTTAAATCACTTATATTCTTTCATTCATTCATAATAATAATGAGTTATCCAAATTAATCTGTTACATTAAAAGAGTTATGTAAGATACATTGAAATAAAATATTTTAAAAACAGAAAAAAAATCGAAAAACTTTATTGTGAACAGAATCACTTGTAGAATGGTTAGTTGAAAGACTCCTTGAGGTCGGTCGTACACGACCTTTTTGTGAATAATTTTCGTGTTAACGCCGTACTTGTTGAAACCTTACCACCGGAGACGGATATCCATGAGATAAAGCGAGGTGTGCATTTTTAGGGTCGATCTTTTTTGTAACGCCACCCTCCTTGTGGGAAGGCAGCATTGCTGTTATGCTGATTGTCTGAAGGAAACACCTTACTGCCATCACACCTCAGTACAATCAGCAGTACGACTTCGCCTTCAGACCTTGAGTTTGTTGCGTTTAGTCTTATCGCTCTTCAATCGACCTGTCTGGCATAGTAGGACCTCGAGGAACGATTGTTTTTAGCCAGTATAGCTCGGTTACTTCATCACGATAGGCCAGCCCGACCATCACGTCATTATTAAATTGTTTATTATTAATAAGTGTATACATATTTTGTATGATTGTTATCGTTTGAAGATGCCACATTAAGTAAAGTACATAATATTTATTTGTTCTGATGATATCGTTCAATAGAACGATGAAACCTCTACAATCAAACCATCTAGCTCAGAAAACAAAACTCTACTAAAGACAATATGAAATGCCCACACATAAGAAAAACTAGGTAATTACAAAGAACCGAAAAAACTCAATACAGAGTTCAATTTTTCAAAAAAAAATTATGTCACTTTAGACACTTCTTATTTATACTCCATTTATTCATCACTAAATGATGGTTATTCGGTGTTTTAAATTTTTCAATTACCATCATTGTTAGTCATTAGTCATTATACGTTAAGGTTATCACAAGTGGTTAACGATAAGTTTTTTTTAAAAGTGTTATGAATGTGTAAATTAAACTTTACAAGTTAAAGATGGATAGTGGAATCCAGGACGCGCATTTTGTCCTGTTTAGATTACACTACTAGCCACATTCCATCTTTGCTTATTAAAAATCATTGATTACTTTAATTAACTTGTAAGTGTTAAAAGCATCATATTGTTGATGTTGAAGATCATCAGTGATCAATCTCCTTCGAGATACTTGAATCTTAAGGAGATTGTCTTGATATCATCATTGAGTCATAATGATTTTTAGGTAAAGTTGATAGTGATTAGCAGTGAACCCCGGGACACATTTTGATAACTAGATTCAGTGAATAACTGAATAACCCATTGACTAGCTGAAACACAAAGCTCTGACTGTTATTCATGATGTAAATATCATCATTGGAATGGAGGTATATCGTCAGCTGGATGTACCTGTATCTCAGATTTGATGTTCCCTCTTAGACGTGAACTCAGTACCTTTCGTTTCAAACGCCATCGCGTTATGCATTTATAAATCTTGTGATCTAAGGCAATATCGAAACAGTCCGTACAGGATACACATATACCAACACAAGACTGATCAACTTCAGTTCTAAATAACATTTGGAAGATACAAATAAAACAACACTAAGAAGTGAATTTAAACTTTATAAAACATAAAGTAAAATTTCAGTTGTTGTACTCTTTGAACAGTGAAATCGATTTCTTTTGTAATTTATTCATTTTTATTCTATCAAACAAAACTGGGTCATGTTTTGTTTTTGTTTAAAGAAATCGAATAGTTATTTCAATTAAATAAAAGCTTACTTATAGTTGTTTTATTAGTTACGTGTACTTATAAATTGTCCATGATTCCAACAGTTGAGATCATGAGTCAATTGAAGCTAGACGACCACCTTTGGAAACCTGGAAGCACTAGACGGCCGTCTCGTCTTAGTATGGGACTTCTCAGCGGTGCGCATCCACGACCCCATCTCACGGGATTCGAGTCCAGGACCTACCAGTCTCGCATTAGGCACTTAACCAACTAGACCACCGATTTGGCTGGCATCCAACGATGTTAATGTCTAACTTCAATCAATCTATAATTCGTTTTATTATTCACATTATTGATCAGTTCGTTTTATTCAGTTCAAAATGTACATAGATATAATAGTTACATAATAATGAGCAGATCGAATTTGAAGGACTACTAATTCTATATAGCAACGAATAGTATAAAGTTCTAATGAAGTATAAATAATCAATTGAAAGGTTTTTAATTGACGGTAAATCAAATCATTAAAATGTTTGATAATAATATTTATATATATATATATATTTGTCACCCTATTAACTAAAGTTGGTTGTTTGGAGACAAAGATCAAATTGTTAACAAAATTATCCGTTGGATTCACTTGGTATTGTTTGATTGAATTTTTCTATTGATGTTTAGAACTGCAATTGATCAGTCATTTATTAGTTTATGTGCATACTGTGCATATTGTCTTGATATTGACTTAATTCATAAGCATTTTAAGCACAACTTGCATATATATATGTTAATAAGAAACTGATCAATTGTAATCCGAATCATCAATGGAATGATTAATGTAAACAATACCAAGTAAATTTAAACTTCACCCCATTGCACAAACAAGTGTCTATCAGGACTCAGTAGTTAAATGGATAACGTGATGGTGTTTAAAGCGAACGCTACTGAGTTCGACTTTTAGAGTGAACATCAACTCTGAGACGCGGGTCAATTGAAGCTAGACCACCATCATGGAAAACCTGGAAGCATTGGTCATGCATGAGCAGTGCTGAGGAGTTCCGCCGTCCAGTGCTTCCAGGTTTTTCATTGTGGTCTAGCTTCAGTTGACTCATGATCTCAACTATTGAAATTTATATTTATTGTTGCAAAACGCGAGTTCTGGATTTCACTAAATAAATATGTTATGTATCACACTGATACTAGTCCAAGGGATATTAGATACATTTTTATACTATACTCAATAGGAATTTTACATTGTGAATACTGTTAAAAAAATGAAGCCCAAACAAATAACTCAGTATGACTGTTGCGATTTGTAGCTTTTTGTTCTTTGTGTAAATATTCCGATTGAGGATTGTTTTATTTCAATCATACAATAGGTTGAAGGACAACCAAATGCTTATGCTGATGCATTAGACTATTTAAATATGATATTTACTGGTGTATTTACTGTGGAGTTCGTGCTGAAGTTAACAGCTTTTGGTTTCAAGGTTAGTCATAATAAAAGTTTGTATTTTTTTTTAATTTCCTTCACTAAATACTGAATCCCATCACCACAACTACAGGATGACTAATTTTCCTGGGTCCATTTTCTCTTTAATTGAATACTATAGTATCATTTTGTTTACACTGGTGCATTATTATGTGATACATTGGTTTGTATAGTCGTATGATTCACGAAATACATTCTTGTCTTTTATTATTTTCAATATTTATATTATGAATATAAATGACTGATATAATCGTGTATTCATAGGAATTCTAATCGCCTATTTTACGTTGATAAAAATTCCATTTTTGATTGAGATCATGAACAGATTGATGTTAGACCACCAATTTTGAAAACCTGGAAGCACTGGACAGTTCATGATCTCAATCAAAAAACGTAATAATCTCCACAACCCCCATCTTGATAAAAACTTTCATTCTTCTAAACATGATACGAATGTCCGGCGCTTTAACTGGGTTGGTGGATATTGAGGATCCATCTAGAAGAGTTGGAAAATTTTGATTCCAAACCAATAGTGCACATAGGCTCCGGGATCCTGAGGGTACAAACGGCTAACGTTGCTCCAATGCTTTGTAGATTAAACATATATATATTGGAGCGAGTACATCTTATTGAAGTGAACATAGGACGACCATTAATCCTTGATTTCCAAGTAGTTACAGAATACTAAGCTACTGAGGGTTTTTTCAGTGGGTTGTTAATCAGTTGTTTTGAAGTTGGCATAAAAAGTATCGTTACATTTTCGTTTATTGATTTTTCAATACTCTTATGAGTAGAAGTAATAAACGCACTATTTTTATTACTGATTTTGTTAGAATAAACTATAAATCTGTAGTATAATTTTCATTTCAAATCAAATAATCTGATTGTATCTATTCTTCTTCTTCTTCTTTTTCTTCTTCAGTTCTTCATTAGTTCTAAATATTCTATTCCATAATTAGTACTTGATATAATACGATTGTTTAGTTTTCCATCTGTAATAAAACAATTACTAACCCTAATAATTACACTGCATTAATAATTTATGTTCTTTATAGTTTCAGACAATGAATTATAATTCCTGTTATAGAAATATATGTTACCGATTGAGATCATGAATCGATCAATGTTAGATTGCTATAGAAAACCTTGAAATACTGGATGACCGTTTCTTCCTAGTATGAAACTCCTGAGCAGTGCACATCCATGATCTCACATGCGCTATTTGCAGCTAGGGCATTCAGTCTCGAGCATGAACTCTTAATATTTAAATCACTGAGCTGACATCCAGTGTAGCTAATCCGTATTAGGTAGAGACAGGTATCTACCTCAGACAATGGAAGATGGTCGCACGGTATCGTGGATTGGTTGAACTTGGACACTAACACCGTTGGATGCCGGCTCAGTGGTCCAGTAGGTTAAGCGTTCACGCGCGCGAGACTGAAGGTCCTCGGTTCGAATCCCGTAAGCGTGATCGTGGATTTGCACTCATCAGGGATCCCATGTTAGAACGATACGGTGGTCCTGTATTTCTAGGTTTTCAACTGTGGTCAAAAATCTATCGATTCATGATCTCAATCAAAAACCTAACAATCTCCACAACCACGCAATTATATTTATATGTTAGTTTTCCATTAGATAAACCATGCTATACAACATATCAGAATAAGCCTCATCTTACTATAATGAAGGAGAACTTAGTTGGGAGAAGACAATTTTACTTTTTATTGAACGATCACTCAAAGGTTTAGCAAAAAGTGAAAATTATACATCAAATACATGATATACACATCATCTTGGAATCGTCTCTCACAAGCTTCATTGTTCCTTGATTGCTGTTGTTATCTTGATAACTTACGTTTTCCTTCCTCTCTCCTCTTATCAACCTTTTGTTCGCAGACATTCCACTTCCGACTGGTATTTTATCTTCAAATACCTTCAAATATAAGTAGCATACATCACAATACTAGATCATTTATATTTTTTAAAAATCACCCTGTTCATTAATTTAACCTGTCATGGATATGGACGTTTTACATGTTATTAAACATCAATAAATAATCTGCTTTTTTGTTTTGTTTTGATCACCTTATCTAGAATTATTTTAGTGATCCATGGAATGTATTCGATTTCATCATTGTTGTTGGTAGTTTCGTTGATATTAATATGTCACATCTTGCTGTAAGTTTTTTTGTTTGGATCTTGAAATGTTTAATAATACTGTAATATCCACAAAAACACCCCTTCTGATATAAATCAATATATATGCTCACTTGTGACTGGTTCCAAGAAGTATTTCCTGGAGTTCTAATGAGAAGCAGTGACCAATGGAGTTCAACTAGGTCTTTTATGAGATGGCAACATACTGAAGACAATGGTGGTTGTGCCGTTCAATTTCGTGGATTAGTTGAAGTTAGACATTAACACCGTTAAATTCCGGCTTAGTGGTCTAATGGTTAGGTGCTCGCGTGCGAGACTGATAGGTCATGGGTTCGAATCCCTTGGAGGATAGGATCGTGGATGCGCAGTGCTGAGGAGTCCCACAATGAGAAGAAACTACTATCTAGTGCTTACAGGTTTTCCATGGTGGTCTAGCTTCAACTGACTCATGATTACAACCAGTGGTTTATTATATATCTTGTTTGTATGTTTCATATTGAGTTAAAATGGCTAGAAAGATTATTTTTCAAGTTGTAACAGACATTATAGTATAATAACATAGGATTGAAATACTTTGTCATGAAGTTTTCCTTCCATTGATAGAGCAATATGAGTCTCTGAATAGACTCTTATAGTAATGTGATTGAGTAAAATTCATAATGTGACTGGAAGATTTAAGAATGAACTAACCAATCCTACTGTCGTTAACACTATGAGTGATTTTGAGCATTCAAGATACAGATTATTAAATTTAAATCTTATACACATCCGCTTTTCCTGAAACTTCTCTTTGCCAATTATCCTATTCTGCTGATAGATTAGTTATTTCCACAATAACAAATCACATTTTATAAGCCCCGGAACAATTTGAACTGTAACCGGCAAAATGTTTCATATTGTAAAATCAGGTGAGATAGGTTGTAATCTCATCAGAAATATCGATTTTGTCAAGAATAAAGGTAAGGCTAGCCGACGTCTGTAAACTAAGACGAAACACAGTTTCAAAGTCTCTCAATATCTTAAAACAGATTTACAGTTTTTAGTTAATTAAACTGGCGTCCCTAGATTTATGTAACCAAGATGAACATAAAATATTTGAACGAATGAAAAATTCAATTATATTTTAATTTTATCCATTTCAATTATCACAGTACTTTTGCTGTCATATTGTTGCCATGGTAAACATTATAAATTGTATTCTTTCATCATCTAATATAGTTTACATCTATTTCTTGTTTTGTTTTGTTTTTTTAAAAGGCGAATTCAAAATTCATCAGTATAAACTTTTTTCGTTTATTCCGTGTAATGCGATTGGTTAAATTATTAAATCGTGGTGAAGGTATACGAACACTTCTATGGACATTTGTTAAATCATTTCAGGTATATATCGTGTTTATTTTTTAGTAATAATTATTATAATACATTTTTTTAAATAGTTCAGATCATCAGTCAAATGAAGCTAGACCATCATGCGAAACCTTGAATCATTGAACAGTCGTTTCGTCCTGATGTGGCATTCCTCAGAAGTAAGCATCCACGATCCCGTCACGCGAAAGTTTAATCTAGGACGTATCCGTTTCACGTGTGAACGCTTAATCTCTAGACCACTGAGTTGACATCCTATGGTGTTAATCTCCAACTTCAACTAACCCACGAAATAGAGTAATATATTCACTATTATCTTCAATGAGTTACTATCTCATAACAGACCCGATTGAACTCCACTGGTCACTGCTTCTCACTAGAACTCCAGGAAGTACTTCTTGGAGCCGGTCACTAAAGAGCAAATGCTGATTAATACCAAGTGCTTTTGTGGATATTATAATGATTTCAGTAGTTGAAATCATGAGTCAATTGAAGCTAGACCACCATAAAAAACCTAAAAGCACTGGACGGACGTCCTACTGTGCGCACCCACGATTTTTTTGTCAACAATTTGAGCTTTAAATAAGCTATTTTCTGATGAAAAAGGCCTGACTTGAGTTGCCTTATATGTGACTCCAGTTAGATCGTATTTCTTATTGACATCGATATATATATATATATATATGCCAGCAACCGTCATATATTTCTATCGAGGTAATTCGTGTTAGAGAATAACGGATGAATCATTATATTTCAAACATACTCTATTTATATACCAACTAAACTGACCACATCGTACCATAAAAATAGAAAACAACATTTACACAATATTTAACAAGCGAAATAAATAATGGCCAATAGGGAATGCCCATTTAGAGTCCAAGGACATCATTAGACTTAACATGATAATGATTGGTATATTCCTCAGCATACCTAACACCAGCCATGACCGTGAAACTCAAGTCTAACATGATTTCAGTGTTTTCTCAACCACACGTCTTGTAAACATTACTAGAATTGATTTCTAAATATCCTAATAGTTTTAGGTGATGTATTGTATTATAAGTAAATCCATGACGCGCATTTCGTCCTGTTTGGATTGCACTAATAGCCACATTCCATCTTTGCCTATTAAAAACCATCGATTACTTTAATTAACTTGTAAGTATTTAGAGCATCATATTGTTGATGTTGAAGATAGTTAGTGATCAGTCACATTTGCGTTCTGAGAAAGTTGTTTCGATATCATCATTTAGTTATAAGGATTTTTAGGTAAAGTTGATACTGATTATCAGTGAACTCTGGGACATATTTTGATAACTAGACTCAGTCACTAATTGAATAACGCGCTTAAACTAGCTGAAACAAAAACCTCTAGCTGTTATGTTGGTGTAAATATCACCACTGGAATGCAGGCACATTCATCTGACGAATCTCAAGTAGAATGAAACACTAGTCCTGGATTTCATTACCAGACACCATAGAATTTTGTTTTAAAGTATTAGATAATACTTTGATGATAACTGCTTACTATTGAGAGATATACTGATTTTATGATTATTGCTTGATTGAATACAAAGACGTATAAAATGTTTTTACACTTTTTTTCTATAACTCATTTATAGGCATTACCTTATGTTGCTCTACTGATCATCATGTTATTTTTTATATACGCTGTAATTGGAATGCAAATGTTTGGTAAAATTGCATTAATCAATCCAGATAGTTCAATAAATCGTAATAATAATTTTCAAACATTTCCTCAATCATTGTTAGTGTTATTTCGTTCTGCAACTGGTGAAGCTTGGCAAGAAATAATGTTAAGTTGTGTTAATGGTAAGTTCATTGAAAACAAACTGTTGACATTGTAGCGTAAGGTCGAGTCGCTGTTGACTATGATCACCACTACGGGAAGGTTGCGTACCAATTATCAGAAGGCAATTGAAGGTTGTAGCTAAGTATATTTTGTTGGTGATCTCGTGGTATCGACAGAATACAGAGATCGTACCAAAGCAGTACAAGCGGATTTACTGAGCAAACGTGAGTTCGTGCAAGGTAACAATCAATGGAAGGAAGAATGGAAGAATAATGAATGTCTTTAATACAGTTAAACAAACAAATATAGTAAAACAATCACTGATACAATCGGCTATAATAATAATTGTTTTCATTAAACCAATCGCCTTCTCTTGATAAAAGTAGGTCACTACAACATTATTGAGGATTCACGATCAGAAGAGTTGAAAATTTAATTATGGAACTGATATGTAGCTTGTAAATCGTTCATGATATTCTTCTTTCTGTTATGATTATACAAACTATAATTGAGGAATATAGCCGATGGTTAATGACCTTGAATGTGACGACTCAAAGTCGTTTTCAGTAGCGCAGGTGAATCCAGACTTTGTGTTCTCCCAAATTTTAATCTTCTGAACTCTTCTTATCCCCTTATTTTCTTTCTTTCCAAATTTATTTCACTGGATTATACTCCTTGAATAACATCTTCAAACCCTAATGTTTCCGATTACTTCTTTTACCTTTACTACGTCTACCACTATGGGATTTAAGCTGACAATTGTATCTCTGTTCTAATGTGGTATGGCAACTTGAACTGATGTACGTACGTACGACGTTCTACGCTGTTACTGACGTACTGAGGAATATAGGGATTTCATTTTATTTCTAGATTACTTATAAATAACCTTCCCATCATTGAGTTATCGAGAAGTATGCGTCACTAAAACATGCGACATTCTTCTCATAGTTATTCCATTGTATGAAAAACCTTTTATCGTATACTTTCAGGTTACTGTTGTCAAAAAAAGGTTATTCTTCACATACTAGAATCATGCTTCGTTCACCATAATCATAACATCCAAACTGATATGATGAATTAGTATGATAATATTGAAGTTCGAAGGCGTATTTCATCACTTATTAATTTAACTAGGAATAACTTCAACTCTATAACAAATTTCACCAGTTCTGTATCATTGTGTGGCATTTTTATTCTTAGATCTATTTAATATAAACAACATTCCGTAGATTTCAATTTGTAGTCATGACATTTGGAAATACTTGGGTCTACAAAAAATAAAAAACTGAACAACAGGTTCTAAAAGTCACATTTCGTTGAACATTAACCTAATTTCAAAACTTGAAATTATATTCTGTTAACTAGTATCTAGACTATATGATATTTCAATTGTTGAGATCATGAGTCAATTGAAGGTAGACCACCATGGAAAACTTGCAAGCACTGGATGGCCGTTTCGTCCTATTGTGGGACTCTTCAGCGGTGCGCATCCACGACCCCATCTCACGGGATTCGAACCCATGACCTATCGGTCTCGCGCGCGAACACTTAACCTCCAGACCACTGAACCAAACGGCATCCAATGGTGTTAATGTCTAACTTCAACTAATCCACAAAATTGAGCGACACATTCTGCATTTTCATCAGTAAGTAACTATCTCACAACTGACCCGGTTGTACCCTACTGCCTTGTTTATTAATTCTCTTTTATTTTAGATCACACTGTCAAATGTGATCGATATTCAGATACTGAAATGAAAGCTATACGAAGTTTTTTAGATGAACAACAACATATTATTTTAATGAATACTACATCAACACAATATATTCTGATAAAACAAAATGGTAACAATTCAACAAAAGTTTCGACACCTTTTGTAACATCTATTGATGATTCAACAGAATATAATCAACCATCAGTGTCATTTTATAATCATGAACGAGATAATCATTCTATTTGGGATGTATTAAATAATGGATTAATGGATAATAATCAGAATTCCTTATTTACTTATTCACATCCTTCAACAATACTTGGATTAGATAATCCAACAATAGAAAAGGACCGGTCTTCTTCTTCTTCTTCGTTTTTATCGGTTGAAAATATACATCCTCCAGATGATATTGTTTATTCATCAGATTTAATAAGTAGATATAGACAAAGTAGAGAAATAAATGATAAAAATGAAACATTTCCTATCATTTCAACACAATTATCATTATCTTCATCATTAAAACCAATTCAGAATCAACTTATTCATTCATCTATTGAAGAGTTTGATGAAAGAACTATTAGTTGGAAGAAATTAGATGAATTAGGATATAATGGACCACGTGCAACATGTGGATCAAATTTTGCCTATCCATATTTTATTTCTTTCTATATGGTTTGCTCATTTCTTGTAAGTTCCTTTTCTATGTATTTCATATTCTTAAACTAATAGTTAAAGTAAAATATTCAGTTCTAATTGTATTGAATTGAAGAATCAATTAATTTGTAGATATAAATGATTCAGATCCCAGCTTCAAAGATCCAAAGATCATTTTTGAGTAAGGACACCTGAAATTATCGGTCTAACTTTAAGAAGTATTTATAGTTTATGTTATTTTGAATTGTCCCATTATGATGAAAATATTCTATTGACTAGTACTTCAACGTTGGAAAGGTATTAAATCTCGAATGAACAAAAAAAAATGACCAGAATGGGTTTTGTAGAGATTTTTAGAAATTTCACTGGTCGAAATCATGAGTCATTTGAAGCTAGACCACCATGGAAAACCTGGAAGCACTGGACAGCCACAACTTTGTGGATTGGTTGAAGTTAAACATTAACACCGTTGGATGACGGCCAGCTCGGTGGTCTAGTTGGTTAAGCTCCTGGCGCGAAACCGATAGGTCTTGGGTTCGAATCTTGCGAGGGGCGGGATTGTGAATGGGCACTGCTGAGGAGTCCCGTACTACGACTAAACGTCCGTCCAGTACTTCCAGGTTTTCCATGGTGGTCTAGCTTCAATTGATTCGTGATTTCAATCAGTGAAAAAAATTGACATTTTATTTTTCTAAACCCGACAGAAATATACTACTTCTTGAGAGTGGGATGTTCTAGATTTGATTAAGTCGAATGTCAGTGGAATCCAGTTTGGCGCGCGTTTCGTTCTATTTGGGATTCGTCACCTTGATGAACCTGCATCCCAAAGTTGACGTTCATTGAGGGATTCGAACTCAGTACCATTAGCTACAAACATCATCACCTTATCCACATAGCTACTGAGTCGTGATATCCACCTGCTTGTGCAAAAGGATGAAGTCTTAAATTCACCTGATGTTGTTTACTTGTATCTTCCCATTGTGATTTAGGACTGCAGTTGACGAGTCCCAAATAGGACGAAACACGCGTCATTCTGGATTCCATTGCTAGTCACTATCCATCTTTACTTAAAAAGCTGATAAGTTAAGGCTATATCGAGGCAATCTGCACAGGATACACGTATACGCCAACAAGAGACTGATCATTTGCAGTCCTAAATAGTAATGGGAAGATACATGTAAACCAACATCAAGTGAATTTAAATGTCTGTAGGTTATGAAAGTTCCAAACTACTATAACATCGTTTTTATAGCCACCTACTTTGTTATTCATCCTACTCTATATGCTAATTACATTTTTTCAAATACTGTTACATGTTTTTCTAATGATGATTATTATCATTATTATAATTGATTATTTTAGATTATCAATTTATTTGTTGCTGTTATAATGGATAATTTTGATTATTTAACACGAGATTGGTCAATATTAGGTCCACATCATTTAGATGAATTTATACGTTTATGGTCAGAATATGATCCTGAGGCAAAGTAAGCTATACATATTTATGATATTTTTACTGTTATTATAATACAAATTGCTTCGTACATCGGAGTAGTCGGCGGTTGGGCATATGTAACACGTGTCCCAGCCATCTCAACTGATGAAGTTTCACTACTTGACCAAATGATTTTCCATTCTTACCTAGTACTCGTTCCCTAACAATCGCATTACTTACTCGGTAGTCCCAGGATAGACAAGCAATACTTCGAAGACAACTTTGATCGAATACTAGTAACCTACGAATATTCTCAACTCTTATCGACCATGTTTCACAGCCATAAAGTATGACAGAACGAACTGCTGTGTAGTAAACACGTCCTTTGGTTGGTAGACGGATATCTCGCCTACGCCATAAATGACGCAAGTTGGCAAAAGCTAATAGGGCCTTCTGTATCCGTGCTGAGATTTCGTCACACATCAGACCACAAGGGCTGATGAGACTTCCAAGATAAGTGAAGTGGTCGACACACTCAACTACTTCACTCCCTATCATTAGATTGAGTGTCGATGCAACCCAATCCTGAAGCAACATTTTACATTTCGAGGGAGAGAATCGCATCCCGAACATGCTTGCATTGTTGCTTAGAGTGGTCAGAAGACTATTCATTTTGTCAGCGACTTCACCAAATAGAACTATGTCATCGGTATATTCCAAGTCAACAAGTGAATCTCCTGGCGAAAGTTCAACTCCTGGAAATTTAGATGATGATAGTGTCATCTCTAGAAGCATTTCAACGAGTAAGTTAAACAAGAATGGAGAGAGTGGGTAGCCCTGACGAACATTATCTGAGTTAATCAATTCTGATGACAGTTCGCCATAAGCTCTCAGGTGGATGATTTTGATGGAGTTTCGTTCTCTAAGCTAATTGATTTAATCATGGAGCTTTTTTTGTGCTTCTGAACAACAACACCATCAGGACACATTTCGGGTATATATAACTCACTGCTTGTCCTGTCAACCTCGATCTTGGTTGGTTATTATTAACATTTAGTTTGTCATTATCTGAATATTGTATTTGAAAAGATTATAACCAACCTGAATCAAAGGAAAATATTGCTGTTCATTGTACAGATCTCATAAATCTTTAGAGACATAAGTTCAGTAATATTAACCAGGTTGATCCACATTTTGATCTAGTGTCTCAGAGCTGGACGTATCTGAATGATTTTTATCGCTAACTTACAAATAGCAAAAAAAATTATCCTGTGATTGTTAAAAAGCTATCATTTCAATCAATAAGGATGCTAGAACATTTGTTTCCATAGTCATATGATGACAAACTGGACTTGGATATTATTGAGTCAAAGCAAACTAGACAGGCGTTAAATATAACCATGGATTCATGAACCAAATATGTTTTATGAGTTTGGCTTTGCGGATCTAAGGACCCTTAAGAATGTTTAAATGTTAATGTATTGTTTATTTCAAAGAGATTATTAGCGTTTAAAAAGTGTAGAAGCACTGGACGGCCTTTTCATCCTAGTATGGAACTCCTCGGCAGTGCGCATTCACGACCGCGCTTGCGTAATCAACTGGAGTTAGACATTAACATCGTTGGATGCTCAGTAGTCTAAAGGTTAAGCGTTCACGCACGAGACCGAAGTGCTAGGTTTGATTCCCTTTGGCGCAGGATCGTGGATTCGCACTGCTCAGGAGTCCCATACTAGGATGAAACGGTCGTCTAGCGCTTCCAAGTTTTCAATGGTGGTCTAGCTTACATCGACTTATGAATTCAACTATTAAAATTATTACAGTCTCCACAAACCCTATTCTGATCATAAAACGTTTGGCCCTGTTACGTTCTGTATACGTAAACCCAATGAACCTTTTTTACTAAAACGTATTTAGCGTCCCATGTTTGATCACGATGAAAAATACTCTGAACTTATATATGTTCAAAATACATCTTACCTCAATTTCCGTACAATTTTTTCATATAAATGCGACTGAAGTTAACGCTTTATAAGTAATAATTATATAATGGTGAGCGTTGATCACATGTGCGTTGTGCCTTAGCATCAAGAACAATTAATGCAACTGTGGCAACAGTTGAATCCAGCACACGCGTCTCATCGTATTTCACTGAAGGTAATATCGAAACAATTCGCACAGGATGCACGTATATACCAATAAGAGATTGATGAATTGTAGTCTTAAACATTAATGGGAAGATTTAACCAACGAATACAAAAATGAATTTAATATGTTATAATATCCGATTAAAACTCCGATTGGAGTCCCTCCAGCGGCTACTGCCGGTCCCAAGCCTGGATAAAGGAGGAGTGTTGGGCATGGGGTTAGCGACCCCATCCCGTAGAAAACTGACTCGCTAAAAAAACGCTAACCAGTAATATCCGATTAAGACTTTTTATTACCCTATGGTCACTACATTCAGTTTTTAAATTGCCTACAATTTGATGTTATTACTTATTGTCTATTACAATGTATTATACTATATATACATTTATTCATGAACATACATTTGATTTGATTCATTTTAGAGGAAGAATTAAACATCTTGATGTAGTTACACTCCTTCGTAAAATATCACCTCCATTAGGTTTTGGTAAATTATGTCCTCATCGAACTGCATGTGTAGTAAGTGTATTCAATTTAAAAAAATGTATTGAATTCTTGAATATTTGACAGTTGTAAATGTCATTCAGTTGTTTAAATGTGTTTAAGGTATTATTTTCAAACAACCATGTTGGTTTAGAGATTGTGGACTAGTTAGTATATAGTTTTATGATGACACAAAATGTAATAATGTTTATTCATCCTTCGGAAATTTGGATTTCGTTATAACTTGTAGATTTGTGACGCTATCAATATATAACGTAATGATATCGCCAATTAGAGAATAATGATTTATCGGCTGGACCAGTGACGCATAAAACCCGTGTGGAGCAGTCTAGAGTCTTTATCAGTCTTCTTTCCCGCCTAGCCCTGCCTGTTAAAGTTCAGAACATCAATCTCAGCCTCTGCGTTATGGATTATTTATTTCAAACATACTGGACTTATAAACCAACCAAACAGACTACATCGTACCATCAGATAGAATATACATATTTGTACAAGTTTCCACACCACTCATTCTCTGTTCTTGTTCTCTTTCCTTCGATCTTCTTAACCTTCTGACGTCAGGTATTTCACAAGATCAAAACAAAAGTTTCTGTGAGTGTGATAGACTGTAACTAATAGATTGGGAATATATTAAGAATGGTAAATCGTATAACATTAGTTAATAGGTCAAGGAAAGCTTATGATTTTATTAATAATTATCCAATAAGAATATATGTAATGAAAGCCCATAAATAATTCCTATCACTTGCTATTCATTTATTCTTCGTTCAGATGTAACACAGGTTATATGTAAATAATAGATAATATAATAATCAATATAGTTTTTGTTATATCCCAATGAGTAGAAAAGTTGTATTTCTGACGTTTTGTGACTGAATATAAGTCACTTCTTCAGAGAAAATGAATAATGGAACTTTGAAGAAGTGTCTTACACTAAGTCACGAAACTTCAGAAATACAACTTTCCACTCAATGCTCAATTTATTTGAAACTATCAATATCCTTCATTGAACAAAATATTAAAGTGTTCTTTTCTTATTTCATTTATCACTAAACAAATGAAGCTGTAAATCAATCCTTTGATCATCTAGTTCTCAATTGTTATTATAAAATTAAGAATTTACTTTGTTCTAATCCAATTTCCGCTACTATGACTACTACGACGACGACAACTTCTTCGACTAGGATTATGACGACTAGTTCTACTATTACTACTATAGTGAACGAGAACACAAGTTGGGACAGTCAGGTGTATTTTAATACAAAAGTACAAAACATCTTAGTAAAATCTGAGAACCATACAGTAGATACTTAATTTGCAAAATGTCAATCAATTGTTTCAAACTTGACTATTCCTTTTGCAAAGATCAATCAATCGTCTCGGACTCATAGTTTCTGCATTTCCATACCAATTGCTTTATGTTCACGTTCTTTCCACCTCGATCTTCTGCTGCCCGACATTCTATTCCTTACTAGCGTTATATACTACTTATGAAGATGTAAGCAATGCACACTCCAGTGGAAAGCTTAACAAATAAGCTTAATAGTTAACTAACTAACATGTTAACTCAAGTTTCCTTCTACTAATAAATTTACATTTTCATTTTAACAGTTTTACAGTAATATATGTCATTTATTGTTGTATCTACATATTATGGATAATCCTATGAGTTTATGAGTAAAGTCAGTTAGTGAATCAATCAGTCAGTCAACAACATAAACCTTCGTACGTACGTAAAGTAGCTATTTTAAATAAAACTGACGTTTCCTTCATTTATTACAAGAAATGAAAATAATGTATGCTGCGCAAACTTTCATTAATGAGTACAATTTGTATAATGATCTTACAAAACAGACTCTGAGAGTATACTTTCCATTGATAGGTCATATCTGGTCCTTTCTAAGAGTTCTCTGTTTTCTTCAAAATACATTTACAATTACACTATATCTAGAACAACTGACCTTTATTTAGAGAATTGCACCAAGCCTATTAAAATATGTATATAATAGACCTCATTTATAATATTCATTACCGCCAAATGCCCTGGTATGGCCGACAGTGAGGTGGGCCCACCCTCCACGAAATGCTCCCACACGGCCACGCGTATATAGCCTCTACCTGGGAAGTCCTACTCACTACCTTCACGTGGCGGGGGTGTTGTTTACGAAATTGAGAGGAAGAAAAGCGAATGTCCGATGCTTTAACCGGATCCGAAACCATTGGTGCACATGGGCTCCAGTATCCTGCGGGAACAAATGGCATATGAACCAGTTTCTTGGTCATCGGCTACCATGGGACTGCATCTCCTTACGATGCTCCACCGCCTTGTGGGTTAGACCTTTAGGTCAAAGGCTCCTTGTGTGGCCCCCTAAGAAAACCACTTGGTTCGGTTTGGGCACTCGGGCAGTATCACAACCCACACACAAATATAATGATAATGAAAATATGTGGCGCATACATATTTGGTGCCTTGTTGTACCAATATTTCTATGTTCAAATAAATAATATTCATCAGAAGAGTTAATGATATCTCTACAAAGGAAAAAGGTATTTCTTTAATGATTTATAAGAGTAATATGAATTGCTGACTTAATTAAGTTCTGTTTTTTTTGTCTAACTATTCAAGTTCTTGGATTATTCATCATTGATCTTATTCAACATTAAGTTTTCTATACTAATTAAACTTTGATAGTAACAATTTTACATTAATTAATAAGGTCAAATTATATTTCATAATTATGTTTTAAGTAATAGACTCATTGATTGATTATCCAAATAAACATATACAATCTTATAGGAAGTCACATCAACACAACTGTGAACAAAAAATAACAAAGCGACTTCATTATGTAATATGGAATGATTTAATAAGAAAGCATTAAGAAGTACATCTATTATGTATTACAGTAATTAAGCTGGCACTGTACACCTTGTAATCATATGACCTTCATACTTTGATATTCTTAACCTAACCGCCAAAACTAAGACCTATACATTCAAAATATAACAGAACTGTATGATACTTCATTTGATCACTTTATTACTGGAAGTGTATATAATCATTTATGAATCCAAGTATTATTAAAAGATATCATAGTTTTTGTATCATCATGTAACAATCAATCTATTCAATCACATGATCTAGTACAAACATCAATTCTCTCAAATTAACCATACAAATGATCATTTCTTGGTGTACACAAATTAAACTAAGAAAAAGCTTCATAAAACTTCATATAAAATGTCTTTTACCACTATATATTTGATACAACTTGAAGGAAGTGATTCAGTTCATCATCGGAATTACATTCATTTCGACAGTGATCAACATTTCATAGATAATAACTTTATTTTCATTGACTATATTATTCGTTGATAATTTTTATCATACCTGAAGACTGTATTGAATATTGAACAGATGTAAATCATAATGTAGTGTATGCTACTGATGTTGACATATATAAGCTCATTCTAAACATTCTGGCATCGTTGCTTAGTGCTACCAAAACACTCTGTATTTTATCAGCGTCTTCACCAAACAAGACTATGTCATCTGCGTATTCTAAGTCGATAAGTAGACCTCCTGGAATGAGATCAATACCCGAGGATTCAGTCGACGAGAATGTTATTTCCATCAGTAGATCTATGATGAAGTTAAAGAAAAATGGAGAATGTGGACAGCCTTGACGGACACCACTTGAGGTTGCAAAACCAGATTACAGTTAGCCATAAGCTCTGACTCGACTAGTATTGTTCGAGTAAAAAGCCTTCACAAGGTTGATGTACTTCTGAGGTACACCTTTCAATGACAGACACTGCCACAGAATCTCGGGGTCTACAGAGTCAAATGCACTGTTCTATTAAAGGACTTTTAATTTTATACTGATGACTTATCAAACGAACAAATTCAAATTGAGAACATCATTTAAATAAAAGTAGACAAGAGGGAGATTCGCGAGATGTACGCAATAAAATATTTCAGATTACGGAATATGACCAGCATAATATATCGTACATTCCTTAATACACAAATGGTGAATATTTCTGAACCCATGTGATGTCATCTATGTTGCCACATTCAGACATAAAACAATTTTTTTCCATACATTCGTACATTTTACCACGTCTAAACGTTTCTACTCACTTTTAGCATAGCGTTTAATCCATTTCCATTGTAATATTTTCAATAGTTTTACCAAATATTTCGTTATCGATTGGTACATTGAGTTTGACATTTCCAGAATCATGTACCCAAAGATTTTGAACCTTCAGTAGGTCATTAAGTCGTCAAGTAGGTGTTTTGTAATATTTAAGTGCGTAACAGAATCAGAAATCTGTGATTATTTCAGAGGTTTTAATGTGTTATAGTTAGATAAGAACCAATCTTACATAATGCAAGTTTTAGGAATTCAGTCTGATCCGCCAGTATACAAATCATTTTATCTATGTAATCATTCTTTGTCAGAATTGGAATACTTGGGTTATTTTATCTACTTTGATGGCTTTTGAATTCTCATCCGACTTTAACTTAATCCGTATGCTCTGTATGTGATCCTTGTTACTGTTATGTGGAATATCAAACATTATTCAGTATAGTCATGTATCTTCCAGGTTTTTACTTCATAGGTTTCAACATACATGAACTGCTTTATTTAACAAGAATTATCACTAAGTCAATAAACAATCATTCCTTACCACCTAACTGACAATGGATGTAGTATTAAGATGTTGGTTTCTCAAATGTTTATTAAGTCTACAGCAATTTATCCAAAGGCATAGGATTATCCATTCTCTGTATTACCAAAAACAATCAGCATCAATTTAATCAAAAGAGACTTATATATACAAGACAAGAAATTTTCTCTTATCCCTTTCTTGTATAGATTTTTATATTTTACCAATGATACATATTGTCATTATTTTAAAATTCAATGTATGTGGAATATACTACTTTCAACCTATAAAATTGATTCATACAATCATATTCAGACGAAATAGATGTCCAGTGGTTCTATTTAACTTTGATCAATTAGTGATTTTAATGAAATTACATGAATAATCACCTTCGAATGGGGATCAAATGAATATCAGTTAATTTGAATTAAATTGTTTTTAATAAGATTCGTTGATTTAATACAGTAAACTATACCTATTAAAAAAAGCATTTAAAGCGTCTATTAGTGGTGTTTTCACATCATATACAACTGTGAAATAAATATTAACTTCAATGGTTAAGATCATGTGTCAATTGAAGCTAGACCACCATGAAAAACCTGGAAGCAGTGGACGGCCGATTCGTCTTATTGTGGGACTCCTCAACAGTGCGCATCCACGACCACGCCCCCTGTGTGATTCGACCTCAGAACCTACTGGGTTGTCTAGCTTCAACTGACTCATGATCTTAACCATTGAAATTACTATAATATCCACAAAACCCATCTGATATTAAAATAAATATTACTTTAATATCAGTGTACTTATCCTAGTTCCCATATCTCTAACCTTATTATCTTTTTTTGTTTACATTTTGATCGTTGCTAAAGAATTCATTAACTGATAAGAAATTTAAAATCTGCTTCTAATCTTTCATTATGAAGCAGAGACTAGTGGAGTTCAACCGGGTCTATTGATAGATAGTAACTCACTGAAACTTCAATTGACTCACAAACTCAACTATTTGAAGACTACAATACCCAGAAAAAAACACTTTCTGATGATAATCATCCGATGCTCACTAGTGACTGGCTGTAGGAGATATTTCCTGGAGTTTTAGTGAGAAGCAGTGACCAATGGAGTTCAACCGAGTCTGTTGTGAGATAGTGACTCACTGAACATAATGGTGGATGTGTCACTCAATTTCGTGGATTAGTTGAAGTTAAACATTAATACCGTTGAATGCCGGCCAGCTCAGTAATCTAAAGGTTAATCGTTCGCACGCAAGTCTGATAAGCCCTGAGCTCGAATCCCGTGAGCAGCATCGTGGATGCACACTTCTAAGGAGGAGTCTCACGTCAGGACGAAAAGTCTATCCAGTGCTTCCAGGTTTTTTATGGTGGACTAGCTTCAATTGACTTACGAGTTCATCTATTAAAATACTATAATATCCATCGAAACCCCTTTCTGATAATATTTCTATGTATATCATTATTAATATCTATCAATCATCTTATTTCCATTCTTTACATCAATATTTGAACTTTTTCAGACTTTAGTACGTATGAATATGCCGTTGAATAGTGATGGAACTGTCATGTTCAATGCAACACTTTTTGCTTTAGTTCGAACTAATTTAAAAATAAAAACTGAAGGTAAACTATTATGAATTAGTTGTATTGAATAGATTATTTTTATCATGGTTCCTAAATTATTTTTCTCACATTTTATTCATACACAACTTCACATTTATGTCAAATTAAATTTTTAAAAAAAACAAACAAAGAGAAAATTACGGTACGGTTTAGGGTGAAGAGAGCTAGCTCTCTCTCTCGTAATGCCCTCACATGGACACGCATATACCACCACTTTCAGGGAAGTCCTACTCACTGCCTTCTCACGGCATAACTGTTGTTTATAGAAATTGAAAGTAAGAAAACCGAATGTTAAGTGTTCATACTGAGTCGGTGGATATGGAGTATTCACTTAGAGGAGTTGGAAAACCCTGATTCCAAATCGCTTGTGCACATGGGTCCACGGATTTTCTGGGGGATGAAATGTTGTACGAACCTATTTTTTGTCCATTGCTTACCATGGAACGGTATCTCTTAACGTTGCTCCATTGTCTTGTCGATTAGATCTTTATATCAAAAGCTCGGAGAGTGCCCCCTTAAGAATACATTCTAATGTAGTGCTGATGAATGATTTTTTAGAAACATTTAAACATCAATTTAGAATTGTCTTGTTTACAAACTATTATCCTACTGAATAACATCCATAATAACAAAAATAATAATAATAGAAAACTGCCAGAAGTTGGGTATAATTTCTATTTTCAACATGCATCCGGGTTACTGTAAGCTGTTAACTTTAACTGTTGGCCACACCCGTGGGTTATATGCATCTGAGACGTCATTAACATATATCGTTAGATTTAGCATACTTACTTACTTACGCCTGTTACTTTTAATGGAGCATAGGCCGCCCACCAGCATTCTCCAATTCATTCTGTCCTGGGTCTTCCTTTCCAGTTCTGTTCAATTTTTGTTCATTCTTCTCATGTCTGTCTCTAAATCTTGGCATAATATGTTCTTTGGTCTTTTTCTTTTCCTTTCGTCCTGAGGATTCCATGTGATGGCTTGTCTTGTGACTCAATTGGATGCTTTCCTCAATAGATTTAACTAAGTTCGGATAATTCGTAGTAATCATCTCGTCGATAACTAAAGTGTACAGAACATTGGGTCACCACTATGAATCTCAGCTTTTTTCATTTTTGTATTTTAAATTCGATAATTCATTAAAAAAATTAGTTTGAGAAATAGCTGTTCAGAATTTCAATAGTTTAATTATGTCCTCTGTATTATAATGGATAGGACTGAAATATTACTACTGATTCCTTATTGATCTTCAATTTTGTGTATGAACAATCATTTGTTATACATATATCAAGTCAAACTACTTTAATTCCCTAATACAAATATATACATTCGACATGGGATGACCAAGCTAAGACATAGTACCAATCCATGTTTTGCACTATTTCCATAACCAACGGTTAAACACGTGTAATATGGTTCAAAATCAGTTTCAATAACACAAATACATCCGCGCATTAGTATCCGTTAGATTGTGAGTTTCAAAATGATTCTCTACCTTTTACCGTACAAATCCATTTTTCTTCCGCAAATTATATCGTCTATGTTTAGGGTTAGTGTTTTATTTTAGCAAGTTAGACAATGCTATCTACTCTCCCCTTCCTCTTTCTTCTGGTGGTCGACTGGATTATGAAGACCTCGACATCTGAGGGAAAACATGGCATACAATGGACAGCTCAGAACCAATTAGACGATTTGGACTTCGCAGATGACCTGGCCCTTCTATCGCATACACATGAACAAATGCAGATAAAGACAGCAAGTGTAGCAGCAGTTTCTGCATCAGTAGGCCTCAACATACACAAGGGGAAAACCAAGATCCTCAAATACAACACGAAGAACACCAACTCAATCACAATTGATGGCGAAACTCTGGAAGATGTAGAATCCTACACGTACATTGGAAGCACCAATGAATAACTAGGAGGATCAGATGCAGACGTAAAGGCGAGGATTGGTAAAGCAAGGACAGCATTCCTACAGTTGAAAAACACATGGAAATCCAAACAGCTGCCAACCAACATCAAATTCACAATCTTCAATACAAACGTTAGGACAGTTCTACTGTACGGAGCTGAAACTTGGAGAACTATAACAACCATCATCAAGAAGGTGCAAGTATTTATAAATAGCTGTCTACGCAAGATACTCAACACCCATTGGCCGGATACCATCAGCAACAGGCTTCTGTGAGAGAGAACAAACCAGCTTCCAGCTGAAGAAGAAATTAGGAAAAGACGATGGAAATGGATAACACATTCATTACGCAAATCATCAAACTGCATCACGAGACAAGCCCCAACTTGGAATCCTGAAGGGAAGCGGAAAAGTGGAAGGCCAAAGAACACATTACGTCAGAAAATAGAATCAGGTGTGAAAAAGATGAATAACAACTAAAAATAGCTGGAAAGGATTGTTCAGGACAGGGTTGAATGGAGAATGCTGGTGAGAGGCCTATGCTCCTCCACGAGGAGTAACAAGCGTTAGTAAGTAAGTATGCTTAGGGCATTTTATTGTCTCTGATACTGCTCCAACTTTAATCATTCTGACATGTATCTAGACAATTTCATCTATCTATGCTCATTTGGTGTGATCACGTGAACCGACACACAAATGTTAAGTTCTAAGGTGCTTGTGAAAAACGAAATGATCAACATATTCAACTGGTTATACTCATGATTATATCTCTCGAAATTTGTTTCATCTGAGATTTGAAGGATTGACTTTTTGTTTAATATAACTATCGTTTAATCCATCTAAGTGATTTCAAAATTATATATTATAGTCAACCAAATTGTTCATATTTCATTGTTATTGAATAACATTCATAATAATAATAATAATGATAATAATAACTATTATTAAATGATATAGGTGCAGCAATTGATCAATTAAATGAAGAACTTCGTGCTGTAATTAAAAAAATATGGAAAAGAACAAGTAATAAATTATTAGATCAACTTGTACCTCCTGCAGGTGGTAAGTTTTCAAATGTTGCTAAAACTATATCCACTTAGATTAATCAGAAATAATGTTTATGTATATATGTATATAATTTATACTTACTTACTTACATCTGTTACCCATCGTGGACGAATATAGACCGTCTATCAACATTTGTCTTCGAGAATCTTTTCCAATTGTTATTCGTCTTTTTAATGTCTACTTTCAACGCTCAATGGAATGTGTTCTTTGGTCTTCTTTTTTTTCTTTTTCCTTATTTCCCTACAGAATTCCAAGTTAAAGCATAAAATGTATAAGCATAAACTAATTAATTATTATTAATAAAATCATTATCACTGAATTATAAATCAAAATGAATATAATCATGTGAATTTTTTTATGGAATTACTAAAATTGACAATAATAAATGATCGAGATCATGAACCGATTGATGTTAGGTTTTCAATGGTGGTCTAATATCAATCGGTTCATGATCTCGATCAAAAACTTAACTATCTTCACAACCTCTAAATTGATAATTACCATATGCTCACTAGTGACTAGCTTCGTGAGAAAATTCTCGGAGTTCTAGTGAGAATCCGTGACAAGTGGAGTTAATCCGTGTCAGGTAGAAACAAGTGTCTACCTCAGTACAATGGAAGATGGTCGCGCAATTTCGTGAATTGGTTGATGTTAGACACTGTCACTATTGGATGCCGGCCGGCTCAGTGGTCCAGTAGGTTAAGTGTTCGCGCGCGAGACTGAAGGCTCTGGGTTCGAATCCGGCTAGCGGGATCGTGGAAGTGCACTGCTGAGGAGTCCTACGATAGGACGAAACGGCCACTCAGTGCTTCCAGGTTTTCAATGGTGGTCTAATATCAATCGGTTCATGATCTCGATCAAAAACTTAAATATCTTCACAATCCTTAAACTGATAATAATAAATGAGTAACATTCACCTTCTAATGTGTTAAACCTTATTTATATCTAGTTAGAAGTTAACTTAATATAGAGCATTGAAAATTCGTTTATCATTGTGAGTATTTGATAATTGGATATCATTGAAACTATGTTCTAATTCTGAATAATATATTTCCAAATTAAGAATTGTTTTGATTAACGAATTATTATAAATTAGATCACTAATGAAATACTCCAAGCACGGGATGATTGTTTCATACTATTATGAGATTCCTTAGAAATGCGAATTTATGATTCTGTATGCTGGATCAATTCATCATTGTAATAAAATTCAATAGTCATAACTCTTTCATGATATTATCAATAATACTTCGTTCTGATAAGAAATCTTTGAAGTTTTAATGAAAAGCTGTAACTAATCGAGCTAATCACTATCGAATGTGGTACATTTAGTTACAATACAAACTGGAAACACAATGTCATGAACTGATTGAATTAAGATATCAACAATATTAAATGACGATATAGTAGTGTAGAAGTGGGTAAGTGTTTACACACCAAATCAAAAGATGTTGAATTCGATTGCTCTTAGTAAGGGACTGTGGATGAACACTATTGATGGGTCCAGTCCTAGAACAAAACGGCTACTCAATGCTTCTATATTGTAACAGTGATAAGTTCATGATATCAATGATATTATTAACTGAATTTCTTTCATCATTACTGATAAACCAATACATAGAAAGAAGTGAAATTTTCTTTTTGAGCAAACAAAATAGTTACTTAAATCAATTAAATGAACACATCATTTTGATCATTTAACGGCGCCCCCGCCCCACAACTTCAATCTATAATTCTCTATCAATCACTTTTGATGTTAAACACTAATATACAACGTAGATGAATGTCATAAAATCGATTCATTAGTAATCATTTATACTGTTAATGATCATAATTTACAGTGTTATTAACTTATGGAAAAATAAATATGGTAACTAACTAATAAGTGTGGAATGTTTGTTTACTTGGTAACTTATTTAATTGTCAGCTGATCATAACTTATTAATTAGATTCCTTTTTTGTTTGACAATTTTTTTTTGAAAAAAAGAAAAGAAAAGAAAGAAAAAGAAAACATCACTTCTATTCTTAGTCATTCTACTGAATTCAATTATCAAGATCAAAAAAAGTAATCTATACTAATAATCTGTTTAAGCCAAGATGAATAGTGACTAGCAGTGGAATTCAGGAAGCACGATACATCGTCCTATTTGCGACTTGTCAATTGGATGCACTTACATCTCAGAATGGATGTTCATTCTGGGACTCGAACCCGGCACCGTTCGCCTCAAATGCCATCGCGTTATCCACTTGTTTATGCAATGAAGTGAAGATTAAATCCACTTCGTGTTACTTTACTTGTATCTTCACATTTTTATTTAGAACTTGATAGCTAAGTGGATAAGGCGATGGTGTTTAAAGCGAACGGTATTCGGTTCTAGTCCCAGAGTAAACATCAACTTTGAGATATAGGTACATCCACCTGACGATTCCAAAATAGGACAAAACGCGCATCAAATTGGACTCCACTGATAGCCATTATCCATCATTGCTTAATAAGCTTGTAACTTAAGTCTATATCGATGCAATCGGTACAGGATTCATATATTCCAACATGACACTGATCAATTACAGCCTTAAATAACAATATCAAAATAATCAGAATGAGGATTTATGAAGATTTTAGTAAATTTTGTATTCTACTTGCAAGATCGTGAATGTGAACTGCTCAGCAGTTCGATACTAGGACGAAACGGACGTTCAGTGTTTTCAGTTTTTTTTAAAGAGAACAAGAACAATGATTGGTGCAGAACAGTAAATGAATTCATTTGATTTCGTTAGGTTCTCATCAGCTGCTTACAACTTAAAATATTTGAAATTCAATGTTATTATAGATATTGACAATACTTATACAACAGAGGGTGATGAAGGATGAATATATGTGTATCATGATGTAGCCAAGATTTCGTTAGAGTTAATGAGGTCATAAAATTATTGGTTTCGAATATATAGAGTTTGAGAGGAAAGGTTCCAGAACATCGAAATATTGATTAGAAATCATGGAATTAAAAAACCACGTTAAATGATTATACAATGAAGTAACTGAAAATCGATTAATGATGTAATTATTAAATGACGTAATAAATTAAAGGGGGGGGGTAATGTTACCAGAACAATAATATTAATAATAATAATAACACAAAACAATAATTACATATTTTTAATGGTTAAATTCATGAATTGATCTAAGCTAGACCAATTATTGAAAGCTTGGAACAGTCGTTTCATCCTAGTATAGAACTCTTGAACAGTTGCACATTCACGACCTTGCAAATGGGACATGAAATTTACTAAAATCTCCTATAAATCCTTATTCTGATTGTTACATATATTTTTTTAAACATTAATGAATTATTATAAACAATATAGAATTGTGGAGATTGTAGAATTTTAATTGAGATCATTAACTAATCCATATTAGACCATTATTGAAAATCTAAAAGTATTGAAGGAATACAATGCTGAAAAGTACCATATTAAGTCAAGATGACCATTTAGTGCTTTCAGAATGTCTGAATAGTATAATATTGTTAAACTATTTACAAATTTTATAGGAAAAGTTGATATAACTTATCAAAGTACTTAACAATACAGAATACAAATTTCCTGATGTATATCTGTCTTGAAAATCTTAATCAGTTTTTCTAGATAGTTGGTTATGATTGTAAATTTATTCTTATTCATTAGTAAAATAATGAATAGACAGTAACTGAACTATTATCTCCTTTGTATATAATACTTATTTGATTAGTTACATGAATAATTACCATGGTTTCTTAGCTTATATCTTGTTTAAAACTGTTAACTTATTAAACCAATTACTTAGTAATTTTGTTATGAATGAGAATACAGGTGGAAATAACTAAATGTATTTCTCAGAAGGGGTTTTCGGAGATTTAAGGAGTTTTCACAGATTGAAATCATGAGTCAGTTGAAGCTAGATCACCATTGAAAACGTGGAAGCACTGGACGGCCGTTACGTCCTAGTATGGGACTCCTCAGCAGTGCGCATCCACGATTCCGGCTAAGTGGTCTAATGGTTAAGTGCTCACGCGCGAAGCCAGTAGGTCCTGGGTTCGAACCCCGTGTGTGCGGGATCGTGGATGCGCACTGCTGAGGAGTCCCATACTAGGACGAAACGGCCGTCCAGTGCTTCCACGTTTTCAATGATGGTCTAGCTTCAGCTGACTCATGATTTCAATCTGTAAATGTATTTCTACAAAAAATTATACAATATGTTCGTCAAAATACGAATGCCATACATTGGAATGCTTCATTTGCAAAATTCTATCATTTGTTCTTTACCACACTGTATGATTGTTCAAAGTCACAATTGCTTTCTATTTCTAGTTCTGTTTCTTTTTAATTCGAGCTTCATAGCCATTTACCATGCATTCCTTTCTTCATTGACGTTACATGCTACTTATGTCGAAAGACATAGCTTGTAATCGCCGATTAGAAAGCAGTGACTTATCGATCGGATCAATGACGCGTAGACCTGTATGAGAAGCCTAGAGATTTGATTGGTCCTGCTTTCCGCCTAGCCCAGCCAGTTTAGTCCAGAATGCCAATCTCAGCCTCTGCAATATGAATCCTTATATTTCAAACATACTCTGTTTATATACCAATCAAGCAGACTACATCGTACCATAAAACAGAAAATAACATTTGTACAAGATTTGGTCGAATGTGGCTGTGAATGTGGGAGGTAGTGATTAATAGACAGCGAATAATTCAAGAATGGAAAATCGTATAATAATAGTTCATAGGTTTGAATAAAGCTTATGATAAGAGAGACATAAATAGGAATAGTTTAGTTAATTAACAATTATACGATAAAATATATACTTACAGTATCGGTCCACAAATAGATCCCTAAAAATTACCACTCATTATTCTTATCGGGACATATCACACGTTACATGCTACTTATGTCAAAAGACATAAGTAGCATATAACACATTTTATGTATGGATTAACTACATATATTTTTTAAC